TTTTTTTACAGTGTATTAATATTAACCCATTTGGCATTTAAATGTAAATATCCTGTTTTCCGCAGGTCTTTGTCTTAATCTCTGCAGTCTACTGGAGTCTACAGTTTGTGAATCAGCGAACAAACAGGATGAAGAAACAAAACTAGATAAGACATCAACTGACATCAACACTGATGCATTACACACAAACGGTCCTGCACCAGTGACATCTTTCATACATTTAAATCATGAGATTTGTCCTTTTAATTTTACAAAACAACTGCTACTCTCACAAACTATTCACACTGATTTTGGTTTGGCATTGAAGAGATGCTATAAAAGCATGAATTAAGATATTGTAAAGACAACATGTTTCGTAGTTCTCAGAATGGTACTAACCAGCTTAAAACTTTTCAGCCATAATCCGTGTTTGTGGTAGATTAAATACAAAAGTTACCTATTAACTGTAGCTTCATATGCATGAAATTGATAAAATAATACAGTACAATAACTAGTGCAATAACTATACGATAACTAGTGCAATAAAGTACAATAACTAGTGTATTATGAAGAATTTTGTAAAATTATACACCAGTTTTGTCATACTGTACAGAAAGTACCTGACCTCTTACTGACAACATGAAGGACCAACATGCTGTTAGGTGTATGTAATTTTAAACCAAAAAAGACTGGTTGTTAGCTGTGGTGTGATTTCGTGTAATTGTACGAGTTACCACCAGGTGGTGCCAGCAGGACCCCTAAAAATTGTGTCCCCATTTCATTCTATAGCCTATATGTGTTTATCGATCATTTCATTGCTGGTCAGGGTCAGTTTCACTGGAGAGCAATTACACTATACTGTCATATGACAAGAAGAAGTGAGCTGACTGTTATGAATAGTTCAAAGAAAGTATTTGTTTTAAAATTATTATTATTATAAATTATGCTAATAGTAGTGGTAGTAGTAGTAAGAAAGAAGAACATATTGGTGTATTTTTTAAAACCCACTACAGTCAGTGTGCAGTCAGTCAGCAAGACAAATAATGCAACAAAAAGACAAAAACACAGTCTACCTCCCACCACAATAACAACATTCATTTTAGCAAATGTTTATGAGATTAGAACTATATCTGATTTTATATTTTCTTTGTCGAAGCTTGTTTTAAATGATTTAAAATGGCACCTTTCTAACATGATATGACTTTGTTTGTCACTATTTCATAGTTTCCAGTTTCACTGTTTCATAACATCTGGATTTCACACCTGGAATAAAGTGAGGTGGCGTGATTAAGTGGTGTAAATAATTCATGACAAATTTGTTAGATGTCTTGTTAACAGATCCCTGGAGGTGTGTCTGAATTTAATATGTTACTTAAATGTTATTGCTCATTACAGATAGAAGCAGCGATAGTTTAAATGAAGGTTGTCAGCAGAATCTATTAACACATTTAGTTTTTTCATGGTGAAACCTTCCAAAACATCACTAACTGATTTATTTAACTTTTGATGGATTATGTAACACATGTTTGCATCTCATGTAATATATTACATGTCTATATTTAATATAAGCAGTTTGCATCTAATATACACTATATGGACAAACGTATTGGTACACCTGACCATTACACCAACAGGGACTTCAATGACACTGCATTCTAAATACATGGACAGTAATATGGAATTGGTCCCCCCTTTGCAGCTATAATAGCTTCCACTTTCCATTGTGGGAATTTTTGCCCATCCATTCAGCATTTGTGAGGTCAGGCTGATGTTGGATGAGAAGGCTTGGCTTGCAATGTCCGTTCCTGTTCATCCCAAAGCTGTTCGATGGGGTTAAGGTCAAGGCTCTATGCAGGCCAGTCAAGTTCATCCACACCAAACTCATCCAACCATGTTTTTATAGACCTTGCTTTGTGCACTGGAGCACAGTCATGCTGGAATAGAAAAGGGCCTTCCCTAACTGTTTCTACAAAGTCGGAAACCTAGCATTGTCCAAGATGTCTTGGTATTTTGATGCATGAAGATTTCCCTTCACTAGGAGTAAGGGGCCTATCCCAACCCCTGTAAAGCAGCCCCATGCCATTATCCCTCCTCTACCAAACTTTACAGTTGGCACAATGCAGTCAGGCAGGTAACGTTCTCCTGGCATCCGCCAAACCTAGACTCATCCATCAGATTGCCATACAGAGAACACTCACATCGTCACTCCACAGAGCACCGGTTTCTGCTGCTCCAGAGTCCAGTAAATCCGATGATTGGCGTTGTACTTGATCATGTGAGGCTTGCATGAAGCTGCTCGGCCATGGAAACCCATTCCATGAAGCTCCCGCCACACAGTTTTTGTGCTAATATTAATGGCAGTGTAAGTTTGTAACTCTTCAGCTATGGAATCAGCAGAGCAACTTTTACGCACCATGCGCCTCAGCACTCAGTGACCCCGCTTTGTGACTTTACATGATCTTTAACTTCACTACATTTGAAAGACAAATATATTTTCACTCCACTACATTTCTATCAAGGTCTTCAAAGTAGAAAGTCGTTACTATGTAGCAGCTTTGAAAGTCAGTGGGTGATTGTTTTCATTGATTACTTTTACTTGAGTAAAAATCTGTCTTTACAACTTTCACTTGTAATGGAGTAATATTTGACCAGCAGTATCTGTACTTTTACTCAAGTAATGGATTTGTGTACTTTGAGCAAATGACTATCAGCACTGTTGAATGGGAGCTGTGACAAACAATTCCTTAGTGAAGATGGACCCCATTGACATTTAAAAATAGTCCTTACATGGAATCGGTTATTCTGTTGAAAGACGTTGGAGTCATAATGTGTGTGTACTCTATGATATTGTTTATATAAACTAGTACAGCTCTATATTCACATGACAGCTTGGTTTGGCACAAATCTCTTTCCTGACATCACCGACTGTTAGTTGCATGCCTGCACATTGAGTTTGAGCTAAAAGCTCACTGATGTGAGGATAACTCACATTAGCAGTGACCCGAACCTCTTTTACACAGATATTTTGTCGGCCTATTATGCTATTAAGTGCTGACTGCAAGATCTGCATTACAAGTACACAATGCAATCCACTGGAAACAATTTTCAGAGACTTGATTAGGTAAAATGTATAATGTGGTGAAAATAGCAGGCCTGTGTCCTCATCGAAATGGCAGATGGGTCCTGTTAGCCTCACAAATGTGGTGTTCTGCTGCCAGAAAAGACCCAAATGACTCATGCTCAGATTATAGCATTACACTACTTGCACCAGTTGGCAGAACTAGAAAGAAACGGGCCCATCCTTTATGTCTCCTAGCATGGAATGAAACTCTTCCACGGGATGTTGACCACGGTAAAATATACAGTATAATGGGATTTGTGGCCTCATTTAGCCTTGTAACGAGATTGTTTATAAAATATGAGGCTTTTAGGTTGCATTTTCCAACTAAACATGTTTACACTTTTGTCAGAAATCTGCCTTTGCTAAGTGATGCACGCACACACAGTACTTTCAGACAGTGTACTGGTTAAGGGTAATTTTGTCATCATTTACTCACCCTCATGTTGTTCCAAATCTGTTTGACTTTTTCTTTTCTATGTGGAATACAAAAGAAGATATTTCGAAGAATGTTTGAACAGTTTTACAGAATGTTATGTTTCAGTTATATAACAGATGTGGTTGGAGTTATTTAGGTGAATAGAAGGGATGCAGAAAGCTTGGAAAAGCTGTCAGTCACTTCACAGCTCATGAATTCTAATTCTCTAAGGATGTAAACAAAATGAATGAACCAGCTGTCCCATGCATAACATTCAAGAGGTTTAGCCCTATGCAAAGGGTATGATGAGGCATTTTACCCCTAAAAGTTTAATTTTTGGAAATTTTTTCTTACACGTAGTAAGGATTTTTTATGAGTACATTTATAGTTTAGGCATGCAATTACAAAAATTGGAGTTATAAAAAAATCTGTGCAATGTACAGAAGTTTGGGGCCAGTAAGATTAATTTTTTTATTTAATGTTTTCATTCAGCAATGACACATTAAATTGATCAAAAGTGACAGAAAAGACGTTTATAATGTTATAAAAGATTCCTATTTCAAATAAAAGCTGTTCTTTTGAACTTCAAAGAATCCTGAAGAAAATTTTACATGGTTAAATGATAACAGTAAGAAAACATATTATATTTTTTATATTTATTATATATCAACGTATTAAAAATCATTTCTGAAGGATCATGTGACACTGAAGACTGGAGTCTTCAACTATTTTAATAAATATTCTGCATTATTCTAAATGTGGTTAATGTGTCCTTTTTTTAAAGGTATAATCTTTGAAAATAGTAAAAAAAAAAAAAAAATTTAAATTTGTTCTGCATATTCATAAACATTTTTAATTTGTTCTAAAAACAAATCTTTAAAATATATTCAACGAAATTATATATTTAGCAGACGCATATTTCTGAATGTGGTTAATTTGTTCTACCAATTTCTTTAGCCCAAAAATATAACTTTAAAAAAAGGGTAGAAAAATTCTCCATATTTCTAAATTTGGTTAATCTGTTTTGCAGATTTATTTATTTATTTTGATTGCTTCTTCAGAGTCATTATTAAACAAATGTTTATCACTCTCTGTCAGACAACAAAAAAGCACAATAAACCCAGAACATGAAAAAGGATGTTAATTGTGAAACAACACTAGTTTAGCATCATTTGATGATGTTTGTTATATATAAAGTTAATATACAATGTAAACAGCATTTTCATATTAAGGGGTCTTTAGTTGGCTGAGACTGGTAGGTGTCTCTACAGTAGGTCCGAAAAGATAGACATCTTCTACCCTAACTCACCCTCAATAGGCTGCATCCTTCCAGTATCGCATCCTAGATCCACTGCCTGCTAAATGGCAAGATGGAGAGATCAAGGGGAAAAAGAGGAAGGGAGGGGGGGAGTGTGTGTGATGCGAGCAGAGGCACGAGAACTGATTGTTGCAGATGAGTAGATCACTCTCCCTCTCTCCAGCGCTCCTCTCTCACGCTCATTTTCCCATAGATACAAACACAGTGGCTCTCTTAGAAGAGAGGGGGGTGACGTCCCCTCCAGACGATGCAGGAAAACACATAACGTTCCTGTTGGATCGCTGCTGTTGACTTTGAGAATCATCAGGTGAGTGGAACTCTGTTTTGCACTTGTTTTTGTGGGAAAGAGGGAATTGTGTTCAATCCGTTACCAGTGACAACTTGATGGAGCTCTTGACTGTATTTGCATTGCTCCTACAGGCTGTATTGCAGACCGATAGTGACAGGATTGAACAAACACGGTTGTATTTGATGTTTCGTGCTTATGGTCATGTAACACATAATTTGTATGTTTGTGAGCTTGTTGTTGGTATTTTAACGGTGAGCTGTGAGTAAAAGCCATTTTGAATGTGGGTTAAGTTCAAGACGAGGCCAAGATCATCCATTTTTCGTAGCCTGAGGTAATGCTGAGAAGAGTTTGTTTTGGGTTCTTGACATGGCAAGCAGTTTTATTCATAAATACAGATTATCCTTCAGGAAAGACACTTGCCTCAGGCACTTCCTGCTCTTGTCGCAAGACGTTCAGAGGCATGACAGGATGTGGAATTGAGTTGCAGAGTTTTCCTTAAGTAGTGAGGCTTGTAGAATACTTCAGAAATTGATGAGTGCATGAACTCATTTTATTTCAGATTCTTCCTTTCTATGTGGCAGTCATCATTTTTTAAGAAACTCTATGAATGTTTTGGCACAGTAGGCCTAATCATAGTTTAACTGTAATATTTGTTGCGAAATCAGGTGAAACTGGTTAGATCAGTGCAAATATGGTTTCTATAAAACAAATATTTGCTACAAAAATATCGGCTGATATTAGTGTTTTTTTATTTTTAAATATCTGTTGCAATTGATATTTAATATTCAATTGTACAATATTATTTGCCATATTTTTACATCTAGATTACCTTTGCCATCATCTAACACTTAGTTAATCTTAAAGTTAATATTTATGATCACTAATAACTTATTAAATGCAGTCTTTAGCTAATTTTAAAATGAATATTCATTTTTCATACTGTACGTTATAGTGCCTAAATTCACATATAAAATGGTTGTTTTTATTTTTATAGTGTTTTATTTTAAATTTATTTATACAAAATAGTATAGAATTTTAATATTGGCCATTTATCGTTTATTGGCTATAATATGAAAATAATTAGCGGTTTATCAGTGCATCCTTGTAACTGAAACTGTATACTTGCTCCTCTAATAGATTATTCATTTGGAATCTACATTGAATCTACAAAATATCAGTTATTAAAAATGTTATAGTAAAACCATGATTAATTTTCATAAGGGATATAGACCCATATCTCACTTATAGGTATTTTCTTTTATTTGATAATAAATTTGATCTTGAATAACACAAAAAATATCTACATCAGATGTTAAGCTAAAAATGTGGCTGATAATTGGAGATTTTTATTTATTTATTTATTTTTTAATTAATATATTTATTCAGTAAGGACACATTTCTATTCATCAAATAATCCTGAAAAATGATCAGTTTCCACAAAAATATTAAAATGCACAACTGTTTTCAGCATTAATAATAGTTTCTTGAACACCAAATCAGCATATTAGCATAATATGATGAATTCTGAAGGATCATGTGACACTGAAGACTGGTGTGATGACTGCTGAAAATTCAGCTTTACCATCACATGAATAAATTACATTTTAAAATATATTAACATAGAAAAAATATATATTTTAAACTGTAATAATATGTCACAATATTACTGTTGTTACTGTAGTTTTGGTTAAATAGCCTAAATGTAGCTTTGGTGAGCATAAGAGACTTATTTTTAGACTTTTGAATGATAGTTTTCTAATACTGTTGGGACCCAGTCATGCTTGTACAGTACAAAGCAGTGCTTCACATCAATCAGTGCCAGTCACTGAGGTCAAGTCTAACTGTGACTTCAGTACTGACTGGCATGATGTTGCACATTCAATTATTTGATGGCATGATGGGACAGATACTCTTCTTGTTGTTCTGTAATAACCGATACCAAGTACAGAATCACAAAAACAGCTTTACACATATACATGAAATGAGAAATAAAACTAGACTATATTACACAAGATGAGTTTGTTAAAATTCACAAGATGATTGACAGTTTTCTCATTCTCTCCACAGAGGCTGAGCTGGTGGATTTTATGTTACAGAGACAGATAAACACTGGACAGCATGTCCAATGAAGAAAAGTGGGTCACTTTGAGTCCAAATGAATTCTCTCTTCTTCAAGACTATGCACAATGTAAGGCTTTTATTCTGGAATTCTTCAGTTGGTTAGTCTAGACCAGGGGTCTCCAAACTCTGTCCTGGAGGGCCGGTGTCCTGCAGAGTTTTGCTCCAACCCTAATTAAACACACCTGAACAAAGCTAATTAAGGTCTTACTAGATATACTAGAAACTTCCAGGCAGATGTGTTGAGGCAAGTTGGAGCTAAACTCTGCAGGACACCGGACCCCCAGGACTGAGTTTGGGGACCCCTGACTATATGCATGGAATGTTCTTTAGAACTTCTGCATAAAGATAAGCCAGCTCGTAAACTTCCGGGGAAACATCATCTGATGTTGTGGTATATATAGGTAGAGACTCATAAGACCCTTACAGAAACCTCTCCTGCCTCGTCCTTTTCAGAAACTGAGAAACAAAATAATGGCATCACTGTAAATGATGAAAGCGACATTAACATACAATTTTTTTGTTTTGTTTTATTTAACAACATATTGGCTAATTTTAAATGCTGAGCCTGGTAATCCCAGAAGAGTACCCAGACACGTAATTGTACATTTAAATGCTTACAACTAAACACTGTTTAAGCTAACGTTAGCTTACTAGTGATGCTATCTTGTAAATGACATCATAATGGTATTCTTGATAATTGATAACTTGCATTCATATTCATGAATATAACTGAATATGAACACAGGGTTCCAACTTTTGTTGCCTGGCTGGAGTGAAATTATGCTGCGTTCACGCTATATCGTAATTACCGTAATTTCGAGATAAAAGCACGTGACGTTCTACTCGGAGCTGTTCATGTCCTCGGACTCGGAATTATGCTTTTCTATGGCAACACTATCAACGCCTAAACAGAACCTGCGGTGGTCAGGTGGTACAAGTCGTAGCTCTCAGAAAACTCCCAGTTCACAAGTTGAAATTACGAGGACGTGAACACTTTTTACAAGTTGGAATCTCGTAATTACGGGAATTCCGATATGGCATGAACGCACCTTTAGTTACAGTTGTGCAGTAAAATTCACTTTAAAGTTTCACTTTTCATTCATGAAGATGACGTGAAAAATGTGTCTCCTGGCGAAAAAAAAAAACTTTTTAAGATGAAAATGACATGAACTTAGCATTATAACCAGTAGATGACAGCAAAGGATCATTCATTAGCTCGGTTGCCATTTCAACTCCCTAGTTTTTTCACGTATTGCTTTTGGATTTATTATAAAATGACTACTGTAACACATTTTAGTACTTTTACTGTACTGAAGTATAAAGTATGGCAAGTGCAGTAATTCACAAAGTCTCATGTCATTGAAAAAAATAAAATAAAATTAAGCCCAGACACCAACAGCCTAGAAGTGTTAATTATTTAAAAACTTAAGTTAACTTCAAATTAAATAAGTTAATTGTTAATGTTATAACAATTAAATAATAATGCATTCAATATTTTTGAAATATTTTTAGATTTAGTTTAAAAACTAAATTTTTAAAGTTTTATTTTTAACTGTAGAAGCTGCGAAATACATTTAGCCAATTCAGACTGGCTGCTGTAGTTTTGTTACTCTGAATTTACTCTGAATCACTTAATGCACAGCTCTATTTTGACATCGGCTCGTCAGATGTTTTGTTCCTCCATTGCTTTATCACTATCAATCATAGTAATGACTCGCAGAATAATTTAGCAGATTAAATTTTTTTACACTCGCGTTTGTCATTCTTGAAAGAGTATACGGTAGTATATAGTATACAGTATGGTCCTGTTAGACAAACAAAACTTTTCTTCAAATTGTGAATGGATTGTGTAGAGAAACCGAGCAAAGACCGCTACCCTTATAGCACAGCTGATTTTGACAGTTGACCGGAAATGACTGAGCTGGCTTATCTAAAACCAGGAAGTAACCGTGCATATAGTCCAATATTCCAATATGTCCAATATTTGTTTATCAATGCATGATGCATAAGTTATGGTTTAATCCAGGTATATGTTTCCTAAAGAACATTTCTGAGATGGAAGTGCCAAATAATACTGTTTCAATATGGTTTATTCTTCACTATCCAAAGAGCATCTTCCACCCACTAAATATCCTTGTGGAGACTCGCTAACAGGCTGCCATTTCACTGGTATGAAAATCGAACCATATAACGGCATTTGTGCACGTGTCACTTAAGGAAATGGCATTTCCTGGTTGGAGCTTAAGGTTAAGACTTCAATCTAATCTAATCGGTACCAGACTATGAGGGGAGAGAAAATTCTGACTGACAGTTATTAATTCCCCTAAATACATAATCCATCCATGATGAACGTTGATTCCTTTGAGTGCTAATGCTGCGGTGGGAGTCAGTCTGAATGAAGTGTCACCTATAATCTCTTTTTTGAGGAAACGGTTAGAAAAGCCCAATGTTTGCTGTCAAAGTAGACCATTTTTCACCATTATTTATTACATTTACCATTAAGATAAAGGAGATAAACTATTCTTAGACTATTTTAGTAGCAATAATCTGCTTGACATGACAATAATAAAGGATTTGATTACACACCAATTCAAAAACCAACCACATAAAGATGAAGATACAGATTCGTGCTGTTTTGATTACCCTAAAACCCGCATTCATACATAACAAATCAACTGTCAACGAGAGGATCTTTCATTACGTATGCAGAGAACAGAGATTGTCTGCGTTGAATTGAGTAATCTGAATAATTGATACCCCAGAGCCCACTGTTTCCTGTGCTAGGCCAGGGCTTTTTTTATTCTAATTGACTTGCATGCAGTACGACAATATGGGTCAGTAGAGAAGAGGAAGGAGGGATATGAAGGTTTGAAAGTTGTGAACTCTAGTATCATTGGACTCCATATACAGACATCTGATCGACTGAAAGATACACTCTGGTGAATCTGTGCTGTTTTAAAAAGAGGGAAAAGATGTGGTTAAAAGCAAACTTAGGTAGGGTGGCATAGTGATTTGTTTTAGAAAATCTGTCTTTTAAATAATTTCCATGGTCATTGACGAATAAGCACTTATTAAATTGGGACAAACATTTTTCATAAATGTCACAAAGATTCAATGTGAGAATATGAAAAGATTTTTCCTTTCCAAAAAGAAAAAAATGATTTAATTAAGTAATAAAATAATTTAATAAAATAATGTAAAATATTAAGCAGCACTGTTTTCAACATTGATAATAATATGAAATGTTTCTCGAGCACCAAATCATATTAGAATGATTTCCGACGAATCATGTGACACTTAAGACTTGATATTAATATATTAAAACAGAAAACAGTTATTTTAAAATAATATTTCAAAATATAGCTGTTTTTACTGTATTTTAATCAAATAGCCTTCTTTCAAAAACATAAAAAAAATCTTTCAACTTAACAGTAATGTAACCTTGCCATGTCCAAAAAATATCAAAATATCTTAAAACATTTTGCAAAAAAGCAAAAAAAAAACATGAATATGAATATAGAAATTCTAAACAAGTTCTTCCTAAAATAAATAAAAAATTGTATGCAAGTCATTATCTGTATGAAATGCATTTTTAATGTTTTTTGGCATGGCTTAGCACCACATCAACACGTCATTGACCGTTAAATGTCTGAGCTAGATGTAGTTTAAGTTCCTTAAGCTGTCTTAACTATTACAGTGGCTTTGTGTGCCATTGAAAAGGTGATTAACTACACCTGATTGAGTTTACATGTCATTTCTAGGAGGGGGGTGATCCTTTTTCCAACTCAGTGATTCTGCTTTTTTATTTTATTTATAAATTTTTTTTCTGATATGTTGGTTTTATATCTTCCTCTTGTTTTACCCCTTTGTTGCAGACACAACTAAGAAACTAAAAGATGTTCTCCAGGAGTTTCACAGAGATGGGATTCTGGCCAAGTATAATCCTGAAGAGGTATTGCAACTCTTTATAGCTTTATAAGCACACTATTTTGCTGTGTTGTTCATGCTGAGCTAAGAATGCTGTACTGGATCGAATGTTGATGATGATCTATTTTTTTAGTGGTTATTAGAGCCATTAAACTATAAGATGTTGCTTTTGGGTAATGAAATCATTTCGGTTTGCATAATTGCTTGGCATTCATTTACTGAAGATGCTTTTACTTGTCGTTTTGTGCTGCATAGAAACCAGAAATCCTCAGTCAGGTAAATTGTCATTTTATGGTTTTACAGCCTGCAGTTATTTGGTCAGTATGAAATATTAACCGAGTAACGGTGTGAATCACCTTTAGCAGGAAATTGACTTTGAGGGTTTCAAGCTCTTCATGGAGACCTTCCTGGAGAATGAACTTGCTGATGATTTCTGTCAGCATCTCTTCCTCAGTTTCTGCAACAAAGACCCCAAACCAAGCCCCTCCATGACAGACAAGCAGAGAATCATGGGTAATTTAAATCTGCCTACACACAGGGTGAACAACCTTTATTCAAACGTATGTGAGAAAAACAATATATGTAATATACTGTCATACCTAATCAAGAAACCACAACTAAGTTACTTTATTTAGAGAAAACATTTGTGAAGTTAGTTAGCACTTGTCACGTCTGCCAGAGAGGTAGTCTGCCGGGGTGGAAGAGGTGAACCGGCGTAGAGGAAAGAAAGATAACGCAGTGTTTTATCGGTTTCTAGCAAGCACGCACAAAACACTCTTCACATACATGTAAAAGACCAGGTACAAAGAATATGGAAGGGACAATACTCTGGTGGACACTACAAAACAGAATTGAACACAATGCACAGTGGTAGAGCTACCACCTTAACTCGAGCTCTCTCCTAGGCCTACTACTCTCCCTGTACATGCACGCTCACAGAACAGCGTTTAAACATATATTTAAAGGGACATTAACATGAATAACATTAGGTGGCCGTTACACACTACCATTCAAAAGTTTGAGCTCCGTAAGAGTATAATAGTTTTATTCAGAAAGCATGCATTAAATTAAGTGACAGACATTTACAATGTTACAAGAGATTTTTATTTCAAATAAATGCTGTTATTTTGAAATACCTATTCATCAGAGATCCTTGAAAAAATGTATCAGTCCACAAAAATGTTAAGCAGCACCGTTTTCAACATAAGAAATGATGATAATCAGCATATTAGAATGATTTCCGAAGAATCATGTGACACTGAAAATTGCTTTGCCATAAATTACATTTTAAAATGTATTAAAATAGGTTTTACATTGTAATATTGTAATACATTTTGATCAAATACATGCAGCCTTGTTGAGCATCTTTCTTCAAAAGCATTAAAAAAAATCTTACTGACGCTGGCAGCTAGTGTACAGTAGGCCTTTAAACCAATAATGTTGGCCACATAGATGCACACAGAGCAGATATATTTTGTTTATTCCTGTTATTTGGTTTTAACTGTACAACTCATTAAAAACAACAAACTTGCAACATTATTCTCCCAGAACACTACCAGAGCTACAGCTAGTGTAACAATAGCAATTAAATCTCTTCATTATTTCCCATGGATTTTTAGTTGCAATTCTGGCCAAACACACAAAAAGTGATGTGTTAACTGTTAAACATAATTTAATTGTGGTTTACAAGGTCTAAAACTTATGAAGGGAAGCTGCACGCTGGTGAATGTGACATCCCCGTCCAAACCTCTCGGCACCATCCAGTTGAAGGATATGATCTGCTACCTCTCTCTGCTGGAGTCCGGACGACCAGAAGACAAACTGGAATGTAAGATCATACGGTACCATTCCTACTAATTGACTAGTTTTATTCAAAGTAACTTACAGTACACTTACGATTCCTTTATAATGTGGAAGAAGCTCTTTATTGGTTAGGGTTCCCGTTTGGTTCCATAATAGAGAAACACGAGGCTGTGCTTCCATCTACTGGCAGCTTTTGTCACATCTCTAATGGTTTTCTTATTGTAATTCCATTCTGCTAGTGTAGAAACCTGTTGCTATGGGCTGCTCAGATGCTAATAACCTCTTGCTAAGGTCTAATACTGCCCCTAGATGCTATTATGCAAGAAAGAACAAACTGTCAGAGATGGGCTACTTTTGGTTAAATTGTGCTAAGCTTGATTGAATGGTCTTCTTGAGAGATGCTGCTATTGGCTGAGCTGCTGGTTTCCATGGCGATACCCACTTTATAATGACTCCTAGAAAAGCTGAGATTGCACTGAATTGAGCGATTCTTTCCATAGATATCCAGAGCAATTGTATTATCAGATGATTTTTAGATGCATAAATTATCCTTGTATTAAATCTGCAGTGTTTTCTCTTTTTCATCCTCTCCCTCTCTCTCTTTGTTTCTGTCGCAGTCATGTTTCGCCTTTATGACGCAGATGGGAACGGGTTTTTAGACAGTAAGGTGAGACTTCATCAGTCTCTTCAGTTTTTATTGCCGTATTAACAGCAAACGACACCAAGTGGTTTAATGCTGGATTGGTTGCATTTACTGAACTAATTTCACTCCCTACTGTTTTGTTTGTTTCCAGACTTGTCTGTAATTTTTAGTTTTATTGATGCTTTTCAAGATGTAAAAAGGACAGATTCAAGAAAAGACATTAAAAAACAAAACAAAAAGAATAACAAAAAATGTATGTGTGTGTGTGTGTGTGTGTATGTATATGTACACACACAGTTAAAAAAATGGTGTAAAAGTAATTTTAATTCAGAAATTGCTAGCTAATTTACAAACAGTTAAAACTGGCAAGTAACATTGAATTGAATATATATATATATATATATATATATATATATATAGAGTATAGTATAGTATATACATACATACATACTGTACATACTGTATAACATAACATACATCTAATAATTTACACTTAAAATACAAACAAATGCAAGGCCAAATGCTCAGAAAGGGTTACAAATACAAGAAGTAATTTAACTGTAACTCAAAGACCTTGATTACCTGTTTCAGGTATTCTGTTAGAGTTGAAAGTAAACTCTTTGCAAGAAGGTATGGATGTCGTGGAGTAGGATTGAGCATCCCAACACTAGATCTTTGTGTAGTGTTACAGTGATGTCACGCAGAAAATGTTTTGTCCTCTTGAACAGGAACTGGAGCACATTATCTGTCAGATGATGCATGTTGCGGAGTATCTGGAGTGGGACGTCACAGAACTGAAGCCGGTAGAATAAACTTGAATTTGACCCTGGCCTGACAGTGCGTGCAGTATTTGATCATATTTTCAATATATGAACATGTTTTTTATTGGTTTTGGATGTAGATTTTGGAGGAGATGATGCAGGAGATTGACTATGACCGTGATGGGATGGTTTCTCTTGAAGAGTGGGTCCAGGGTGGCCTAACCACCATTCCTCTGCTAGTGCTGCTGGGACTCGAAACTGTGATTATCAATTAGCGTTACATATTTATATGTGTATGTCCGATATGTTCATCTGTCCATCTGTCTGTACATCTATCCATTCATCCAAGCCAGAAGAACAGATACAAATGCATCAGTGTGATAAATTGAGATGTTACACTCTGTTTGCCCACTAGATGGTGTCCTCGACTAATTTTAAATGCTTTGACAGCTGCATTAGTGGTCTGGTGTCTGATTTATTTGGAGTGTCATCCAGATTTTTAAAAGATGCAGATTTGACACTTTTCAAGACATATTCCTTTCTTTTCAACTTTTGCATTGTCTCAGCAGGATTCCAGAATACACTTTATGTAATTTGCCATAATGTTTTTCATCACTGTTGTCATAGTTGTATTATCATTGTCAAGTCCTCATAGCTGTCTTCCTCTCATTCTCTTGTTATTATCTTTGTTTTTCTCACTCTTTCTGTATGCAGAATGTAAAGGATGACGGGCAGCATGTGTGGAGACTGAAGCACTTCAGTAAACCTGCATACTGTAACCTGTGTCTGAATATGTTGATCGGATTGGGAAAGCAAGGCCTTTGCTGCTCCTGTAAGTCCAGCACCTGACCTTACAACATTTATTACATTAACCACCAGTCACTTCTGTTCACTTATCATTTTTTGCTTTATGCTATAAGTGAATATGGACAAATGCAAATCAAGACCATCAATTTCATTTGGAATATAAGTAAGCTAGTGTATATTAAATATCTCTTCTTTAAACATTGACATTCAAAGAATTGAAGATGGTTTCAAGGTCATAATAAGACAACTGAATTTCAAATGTTTGTATTTTATTTTATTTATTTATTTATTATTTTTGACACTTTTTTTTTGTACTTTGATTAAGTTTTTATGATAAAAAATTAATATATTAATTAATCAGCAATCAAATTTATTGACATTAAATAACCAATTGTAGACAATAATAATAATAAATTAAATTAAAATACATGTTAAAGTATTAAAAATGATAAAAATTGATACCAAAAACAAATGATCAAAACATTGATTCTTTACACTGAATTAATTTACTGTGTGTCTGTTTTATAGTCTGTAAGTACACCGTTCATGAGAGATGTGTGGCTCGAGCTCCCCTGTCCTGCATCAAAACATACGTCAAATCTAAGAAAAACACAGAGGTGCGTCGAATTGTAGTGTTTAAAAACCGGCACGTTTGGATCACCAATACTTCACGGGGCTTAGACCAAGGGCTTCTTTTCAGCTAATGAAATTAGAAAGATATTCTCTCTCTAAGCATTGCTAATTACATGATTAACCTGGTTTAAACAGAGACCTGAATACACCAATGATGAGTCGTAATCAAAGCCTATGCTCATTTGTTATATATCTGTATTTTCATTCTTTCTGTCTCTCTCCCTCTATGCATTTATTTGCATTTTTACATATTAACAAAAGCCTTTTTTAAATAGATTATGCATCATTTCTGGGTTGAGGGAAACTGTCCAAGCAAGTGCGATAAGTGTCACAAAACTGTCAAGTGTTACCAGGGTCTTACGGGCCTTCACTGTGTCTGGTGCCAGATTACTGTGAGTTTATCAGTATTCATAATTACTACAGTTGCATACATATACTCTGACCATATAACCATGTGTGAATACTGAAGGGTATATATATGTATATATATAAATATGCATGTAATCCAATTATTAATTATTAAAGTTATTAGTTTGCCACAATTGCAGTGCAGTAATTTTGTAGGTGTTTATTTACATTTGTTATAAATTTACTGTAACATCAGTCTGTATGTAAATAATATTGATGAATCATCCGATTTGTTTTAAAGTTAGGTTCTGCTCTGTCTTGCAGCTGCACAACAAATGTGCTTCACATGTCAAGCCCGAATGTGACTGTGGATCACTGAGAGATCACATACTTCCTCCAAACACAATATGCCCTGTTGTACTGGTAATATCTCATATTTCTTTTTGTATGTTATTTTGGGACTCAGTTGTTATATAAAGCTCAGCTCTTTTAGACCTTTACATGTGACCTTTAACTGCAGGGGAGACAGTCCACTCTGAGAAAAGACTCCAGCCAATCAGGAGGCCGGGGAAAAATACAAAGGACTAATTCAGTATCAGTGGATGGACAGGGGCTACAGGTGAACGACACACACTTATAGTTGGATATTACTAAAAACAGGAAGTCCCAGGGGTACATTTCCTTCAGACGGAATCAAATTAAATAACACAGTGCTTTAGTGAATCTAATAGTCCCTAATTCTATCAGGCAAAATACCTGATTTTTTTCAGGTTGTTGATGTGAAATACTGTACATCTGGGAAGTTGACATGTTCTGTGGCGTGACTGCATACTGTACTGCATCTAAAATATTTAATTTTTTCTTGCATGCATCTTTTATGATCTCATATTAATGAGGGACAATATGGAACATTTGTACTTTTTAAAAATTCCTTCACACACCATTTAAAATGAACTAGTGTAGACAGAAAAAGTGATTTAAAATGACAGTTTAATTAGGGATGCGCTGATATAAAATTTTTATTTTATTCAATGTGTTTTTTTTATGTATTATTAATTATTTGCATTTATTTGATATGGCTGATAACCTACTGTATAAATAATATTTATTATTCAAATTCTGAACCGTTTTGTCTAAATAAATAAATTTGTAAATAAATAATTATAAATAAAACACAACTAAAATCCATTATTTTAATGCTATTGAATCTATGCATCACAACATTGATATACAATATAAAAATGGGTCTTTTTCAAAAATGAATATTATTATTTTTTTTGCTAAAGATTACATTTAACACAGTATCAACTAATACATATAATTTAAAAAGAATCATCCAATAACTGATATGCCACAGATATATGATATAATCTGCATTGTTCATTCCTAATTAAACTAAAATATAAGCATATAAATAACAAAGTCCATATTAACATAATGTTAATGATGAATTCCTGGTGATTCCTCAACTAAGTTTAGCCCAAAATTCCAATCCTATCTCAAAATCACACTTCTGGGCAACAGTTAGTCTGCAGTGACCCGCTGTGATTGGCTGTTGTCTGAGCATAGTAATGACAGAACGAAAAAAGACAAATCATGTCCTGGGTCATCCATCTTGGCTGGCGGCGGCTAACCAGTGTAATAATCAGGATTATTATTTATAATTAGAGGAAGTAATGGATCACTCGTCACCGGACGGGCGGCTCATTAATTCACCTGGGCCTGCTGGGATTGTTTCGATGGGTCCTGTTTTAAGCGCTTCATCTGTGTCACTGTCCACCGGAAGACGACTCACACTCTCTGGATTAGTTTGTACGTGCTTCATCCGCTCCAAAACCCCACAATCATCATGCATCCATGCAGAAATGTGACTCATGGTCAAAGATTGTCATTAATGGCTAAATATGGCGCTGATTACTGAGGTTTGCCAGTTGCGTCTCATGACGTGGGTTCATAGACTTTTTGTACTGAAGAGTTATTCTGAGATCTGTTTGAGATGATCAGATACCAGTAACATCAATGTGATGTTAAGCTAAGTTGTATAATTCTGAGTGAATGGAGAGAGAATTATCACATTGCTGACATAAAAAAATTAAGGTTCAGGTGGTGAAGGAGAGATATGTTAAGCTATAGAATTATTAAGCAAAAGAATGTAGAAGAATGATTAATTTTTGCATATTTTTTGACATGTATCAGTAATAAATTTAAATGTGCGAATTTAAGGACTTTTTGTGCTCTAAGCAATTTTGGTACTCTCAGTTGGTCAGTAAAATTTGGATCATGACGCACAAGAGCCAATTTAAAAGTTAAATTCACTTCAAATGTTTCAGAATTAGGATATGTAATGTTTTTTTTTTATCGTTTTAATCGGTAGATTACGCCATTAGAAGGAACTCATCCGTTGTTGGTTTTCGTCAACCCTAAAAGTGGAGGCAAACAAGGTGAAAGGTGAGAACTGTGAAAGATGGTGTCAGAAAATAAAGTTACACTTTCGTATTTTCATATAGCATTTCAACTGTCTTTGAGTCAATCTGCATAATTTATCCGTCACTACAGTTTGTTTGACACCAGTACATACCAGTTGCAGCCTTAGTCAAATTAGCAATGCGCTGAATGTGTTTGAGGTTGTTGATTAAACTTCTTTGAGTTACAGTTCCAGTTTCAGTTCCATTTCTGGTAACCTAAATGAGGATCTAATCAAATCAGTTGCAATTTAAAATCCATTTTTGGAATTCTAAAGATCCATATCAGATTTTAGTTCCTCTTGATGGACAATATTGGATGAGATGGCCATGATGACCAGTATTTCTTGTATAGCTAATTTCTTGTAATAGCTAATAATGACAAAATCCTTAGTTTCTGTTGCAAATTCATCCAACCACATCCATTTATTATTGAAAAATTCACTGTAAAAAATATCCTGTTAAAATGAATGGCATCTGTGGTTGCCAGAAATTCATTGTAAAAATATGGTGAAAATATTTCCAATAATGGTTCCTGTATATGTTGCAACTTAAAACGGTGTATTTAAGTTAATATACCAATCTACTTGAACTACCAAAATCTGCTACATACCTGTACTGATAACCACCATAATAATGCAAGTGATCAAATAAAAAGCCACATGATGAATCAATGTTCATCATACAGTAAGTGGCCAATACTATACATATAATAATATATATATAGACATTGCACCGAGTCAAACATACATAGACAAAACACCATCAGGGTAACACACATGACACTAGAATTAGGCAGTAAACATTATTATTAATAATAATAATATTAATAAAAATAAAAACCTAATGTCCATTTGTGATAAAAAAAAAAATGAAAACTATAAAATATATTCATATGTGGGAATATCCTCATACTGTTTTTCACTGTGAATTATATGGTAATGTGTCAAACAGGAACCTATTGCAATGTCCTTTTTCATGATCAATTAAATGGTAATTCATAGTTTTTAATTCCATAGCCATAAATTTGACAGTATTTTACAGTAAAATTACACAGAGCATAATGTAATGTTAAACCATTTACTGTTTTTCACCATATACATTTACTGTAGCATTTTTAGTGTTTTTAGTCTTTTTTTTTTTTAAATTGCAAAAACTATTTTTTACAGCAAGGGACATTTAATATCATTTTTCCTAGTCACTGATTTGTTTACAACTTCTGCCCTACCTAGGATCTTCCGAAAGTTCCAGTACCTCCTGAACCCTCGTCAAGTCTACAACCTGGCCAAGAACGGCCCCATGCCTGGGTGAGTGACAGACACTCCAGAGTGGCTTTTCTCTTATCATTCTAACAGAAGCATTTAGCTCCCTGCCGTCTAGCTTTCTAGTAAACGTATTGTTGTGCCACATTCTCGCTTTATGATCATGAGAGTTACGTCAACCCGACGTTAACAATATATTGTGTATGTAGAGACTGCTTGATAATAATGTGCACTAATTCATGCATGACAATCTCGCTCTGTATCTTAGCTGTAAGTGTAGGCATTATTAAAGGGTTAGATCCGCCATCACAAACACTGCAGAGAACAAAGCTAGGTTGTGGAAGTCTCTAGTACTCACAGTCAGCTGGTAATAATAGATTCATGTTAGTGTTGCCGCTCTCAGTGTGATCATGCATACCATGGCTGGTGTCAATCAAATGCACACAACCATGAGGCTCTGTGATCACTGACTGAATTTGTTATTAGTATGCCAGCTGCGTGGTCACTTTTGAGTTAAGTGTACAGCCATTGGGTTGTGACAATATTCAATGAGACTATATTTTGAAAATTGAATTTTAAAGAGCAATAAAGAAAGCAGAAATGTTATTGTGGGATGTTGCCATGGAAATTAACCAAGCGTGTGAATATTTGGGTAGACAGTGAATCGAGTCCATTCACTGTTCTTACTGTAGGTTTTTGATTCAACTTTAGAAAATTTAGAACGATTCAGTTTGATTTATTAATTGATTTGATTCAATTAGTGATATGATTCTATATGCATTTTTATAAATGCATGTATGGGTCTTGGGCAAAAAAGAAGAAAGATAAACTACTTAGGTGCAGTTAAAGAAAATAAACTCTTTTCAACATGGATAATAAGAAGAAGAAATGTTTATTGAGCGCCAAATCAAGATATTAGATTGGCTTCTGAAGGATCATGTGACACTGAAGACTGAAGTAATGGCTGCTGAAAATTCAGCTTTGCATCACATGAATAAATTACATTTTAAAATATATTAAAGTAGAAAATAGTTATTTTAAATTGCAATAATATTTCACAATATTACTGTTTTTATTGTATTTTTGCTCAAATAAATGCAGCCTTGGTGAGCAAAAGAAACATCTTACAGATCACAAATGTTGAATGGTAATTTGTGTTTCAAAGGACAGAATTTTCTATCAAAAAAAAAAAAAAAAAAAAAAATCTTACCAACCCCAGACTTTTGAGCTGTAGTGTATATTTTTCAACAAAATCTTTGTTGGTGGAAAAGATAGATTTTGACTCTATGCATTCAGTCACATCTGTTGCAAACTGAGTGTTTGTTTCTTCATACTCCAACATCCTCAAAGTTGCTTTTTTCATGTGATTGGTTGTCTGTTTTCGCTGTCTAATATGATTTGCCAAGCCTGCATGTCCCAATAAGTAAAGTAATTGAGAGTCTTATTTTGTGCACCATTCTACCATGTAAGGTCCCTTCATGCAGTTAGAGCGTTATTATTGTGAAGGAACGGAAGGCGCTGCAATGAGCATTGTCTTGGTAGATCTGATTAGCTTCTGAACAGGCTTGGCTTTCGAAAAGATGGATTTGCATTTGTGATTTAAACAAAAGATTTGTTCATAAAGATCTATTACAGTGAAATAGATAGATAGATAGATAGATAGATAGATACTACATATTATATATGATGTGCATATATTAGTGTTGCATATTATGTTATATAGAGAGTATATTATTATTAAATATAATAAATTTTTTAATGTTTGTTGTCTAATAAATCATGGTTATCTTTCATTAAATACATTTATATACAATATTTAAAAGTTGTGGAAGAGAAAGTTGTGGTTACATTGCTTTTCGAACACTTGGCATCTTATTCATTCTGATAACGCTCTTCATTTCAGCTTAAATTTCTTTCGAGATGTTCCAGATTTCAGAGTCCTGGCCTGTGGTGGAGATGGTACTGTTGGATGGATTCTAGATGTTATAGGTGAGTTCAGATGAGTGTTTTTTTTGTGTTTGCAGTTGTAAGATGTTCATTTAGTGCTTGTTTGTTTGCTTTGGCCTCTTGTTGACCGAGTTTCTTTGAGCAATTAAAAGTTTGAGTCATGTGGATCAGGGCTTCCATACTGTTGCCATGTTGTAAATTAAAGCCAGGAAGTTTTTATTTTAGATTTAAGGAAAACAGCAAGCTAAAGTAAACTTCATAACATATAGACATCTTGAGGAAATACTGCAAAAAAAGGCTTTTCTTGTTGTTTCAGAGGTTCTTTTGTACAGAAGCGATTTTGTTATATTTGTTGAAATAGTCAAATACTTATTTTTCACAGAACTAAAGCCATTACATTCGTACCTGTATTTTCAGGGCAAATAGGATGATTATCTTTCTTCAAGAAATGGCATATTACTTATATCATCTGAAGAATAGTCTCCTCAGGTGATTTTTTTTAGATGACTGCATCCTCATTAAGTCCTTTATTTGTGTCAAAATTGCATCTATTTTTATCAATCAAAACAAAGGCAGAGTAATAGATTGGATGCTTTCAGAGGAGTGTATTAGAAAAGAACCACTGTAGTTTTGACATTGCCATTTATTCCATTATACATACATACATACAAATACATATGTACTGTAGTCTGTATAGTGTGTATGTATATGGCTCAAATCATGTAAACATTTCTTATCTTTTTTTTGTAAAAAGTTAAAAATTACTTTTTAAAACTGTGTTCCACTATTACCCCTTAGCAGATTTTGACTCTACTGTATACTGTGTGTATACTACAGTTGAATTCCCATAAATAGCCCTTTTTATTTATTATTGCTTTATTTTCTGGAGCAAAGGTAAAACAAGTTATTTTTTCCTCTCTGCCATTACAAAACAACTTGAGTGGAGTCACGGAATGTTCTGGTTTCCTATTGTTCTCTGAAGTGCTGTTCTTTTTTTTTTTTTTTTTTTTTTAAATAAACCCACCTT